CCGGCCCCTGGCCCCCGGCGCCGCCGCCGCAGCCGCAGCCGCAGCCCCTCTCCTGGGCCAAGCGCACCGGCTTCCAGCCCCGCGTCTCCGGCGAGTCCAGCGCCACCGCCTCTGCTCCCAACTCCGGGCAGGCTCCGCTCCCCCGCCCGCCCGGCGCCCCCGCCGATCTGGAGTCCGGCCCACCGGCCCGGCCCAACCCCGCCCTGCCGCCCCCTCCCGCCGCCGCGGCGACCAATGCCAAGCAGCAGCAGCCGCAGCCGCCGCCACAGCAGCGACAGCAGCAACAACCGCCCGCAGCGCCTCCCGCGAGGACGCGCAGGAGGGATTCGGAGGGAGGAAGGCCAAATGGGCAACCGGCCGCGGCGCCGCTGCCGCAGCTGCAGGAGGAAGAGGATGTGCCGGAGCGGCCGGCGCACGTGAAGTACGAGCTCCGTGACTCTCCTGGAATATGTAAGTACCCTAAGGAGGAAAGCCGAAACACCCACAGTTCCAATGAGAGTTATAATAAGGCTTGCTAATGTGTGCATTTTTAAGCTGTGCTGCAGTTCCAGTAATGATATACGGATTCCAGCATTACATCTCCATGCTCGGGTCGATCATCCTGGTCCCGCTCGTGATGGTTCCTGCAATGGGTGGCTCGGCCGTGAGTTCATCATTGAATTTTTACCATCTCATTTTCATATAGCATGGCTGTTCAGTCGGTGTGTTGCTTAATAGGTGCTGTTTGGATGCATATCTTTTAGGATGACACGGCAGCGGTGGTGTCGACGGTGTTGCTAGTCTCAGGATTAACCACATTGTTGCACACATTGTTCGGAACGAGGCTGCCACTTGTGCAGGGGCCATCCTTTGTGTACCTTGCCCCCGCGCTTGCAATTATCAACTCCCCTGAATTCTTTGGGCTCAATGACAATGTATGCATTTTTTTTCCTGTTTGTGTTATAGTGACACAACACAGCCTCTATAACATGCTCGTGGCACATGTTGTAATGCAGGGCCTGTGAAATAAGTTATCTGAGATTAACTCAAATTATATCATTGCAGAACTTTAAACACATTATGAAGCACCTGCAGGGAGCTATCATAATAGGAGGTGTATTCCAAGTGCTGCTGGGATATACAGGCCTCATGTCACTATTTCTAAGGTTCTGTTCCCTTGCTTCTAATAAGATACATGTCATTTTCATCTTAGCTGTCTGCTGCTGCTCTGACATGTCCATATGCTAATAGGATTTTGCCATGGACCTGATTGACCTAGGCAGTGAATAAATCGAGATTTGAACGATGCATGCTCATAGGTAGCGAAATTTACTCTGGTAGTTTTGTGTTACCGCAAAGTAACTTATATTTCGAATATGAGACACAACTTTCACTTAGCTCTACTGTGTAAAGATTAATTATTAGCATTGCATGATATCAACATAAGTAAACATCTTAATGATCATTTCCCGCTTTTGAGTGCTATTGTTATGGATTTGTGTCCGTAAGTTAACTTTGTTTACAACTACTGAAGCGTGGGTATAGAATCAGCCTTTCCTTATCAACTTAGGCTTTTGGGCTAACTGGTTGGTGCCTGCAAGTATGCAACTCAATATGGTATCAGATCCAAGTTGTCATAACTTCAAGAGCTGTCTTTCAAAAATTTAAGAAAATATCTGTAACCCAATATAGTCCACGGCATAGGCCTGAGGGGGAGCCTAGATATATCCCAGTATCCTAAACATCTTTCTGTGCTGAATTCATTGGCTCGTGCAATAGATTGGCTTGGCATTGTGACCATCGACCAAGCTAAGTTTGTTCTTCTGTTCTACAATTCAATCTCTGTTTATTTCAGGTTGATAAATCCAATTGTCGTCTCACCAACGGTCGCAGCTGTTGGACTTTCGTTTTTCAGTTATGGGTTCACTAAATTAGGGTCATGTATAGAGATGGGCCTCTTGCAATTAATGATGGTCATTATCTTTGCACTAGTGAGTACACTTGAAATCTTGTTAAATGCTGTAATGTCTTCTTCACTACAAATAGTTCTATGCTGATATTTTTATATTTCCCTTGGTGCAGTACCTTCGAAAAATAAAGTTATTTGGCTACCGGGTTTTTTTAATTTATGCGGTAAGATGGGCTAAAAGTATTGACCTGTTGTCTTCATTTATGCTGCATTACGGTTACTGCGACTGCATGAGATACTAACCTTTGAACTACTGATGTGCTGCCCCTTTAGGTTCCTCTTGGTCTAGGAATCACATGGGCTGTTGCTTTCGCTCTGACAGCAAGTGGAGTTTACAGCTACAAAGGTTGCGATGCAAATATTCCTGCGTCAAACAATATATCAGCCTTTTGCCGGAAGCATGTATTGAAGATGAAATCTTGCCGTGTAGACACTTCACATGCCTTGAGAGTTTCTCCTTGGTTCAGATTTCCGTATCCGCTGCAATGGGGCACTCCAGTTTTCAATTGGAAAATGGGCCTTGTGATGTGTCTTGTATCAGTTATTGCATCAGTTGATTCTGTAAGTTGGGATTTGTTTCAAACCTTCATCATATTGGCTTTACTTTATTTTATATGTTCTTCAAATAAGCTTGCAATGTACTCCCTCTGTAAACAAATATAAGACGTTTTAGATCACTGTTTAGTGAGCTAAAACGTCTTATATTTGTCTACAGAGGGAGTATTACAATGTGTCTGTAGATATAGTTAACTTATTTGAAATTATCCGCAAAAAAAACCTTATTTGAAATTATCTACACTATAAAGAGTCTTTGTTAACCATCAACTCGAAATAAGCTTCCTTCCCAGACACATGTCTTACTATTGTTCTGATTACCTGAAATTGGATCTTTATGTAGATATAGTATACTGGTGGAACCATTGAACGCTCATCATAATAAAAAATCCTATCTTCTTACAATTCTGCTGTGTTCACTTGACTTAAGGTTGGTTCCTACCATGCGTCATCTTTGTTTGTGGCCACAAGACCACCAACAGCTGGAATTGTTAGCAGGGGTATAGGCGTTGAGGGTATCTCCACAGTCTTGGCTGGCCTGTGGGGAACAGGAGTTGGGTCAGCAACAATAACAGAAAATGTACATACGATCGCTGTGACTAAAATGGGTAGCCGCAAGGCAGTTGGATTTGGTGCTATTGTACTTATACTTCTCTCTCTTGTTGGTAAGTAACTACGCGCATTTGTCTTGAGTCTTGACGTAAAATGCTCTTACACAATATTGGAAGAGCAAACATCACTTAGTCAGGTAATAGCATGCATGGTTCTTGCTGACAACTATTTCTCTATCTCATTTGTAGGAAAAGTTGGTGCTTTCATTGCTTCCATCCCTGATGTTATGGTTGCAGCTCTCCTTTGTTTCATGTGGGCCATGCTCTGTGCTCTTGGCTTGTCCAATCTTCGTTATGGTGCCACAGGAAGCTCGAGAAACAGTATTGTAGTTGGGCTAGCATTGTTTTTATCCCTATCAGTTCCTTCATACTTCCAACAGTATGGATTACTTCCGAACACAAATTCATCAGTTCCAACCTACTTTCAGCCATACAATGTTGCATCACATGGGCCTGTAGACACTGGATTTGGTGGGGTATGTACTGAACTTTCCATCTTTTGCATCAGTATGTTTTACTCTCTACTGTTTAAATGACAAATGCATGGTTATATCTTCATACTATAGTTTAAATGATGATTGCATGATTGTGTTTTGTTGATAAAAATGCACAAATTCTATTGTCAATTAGAACTCTTCATACCGTCTGACTAGTAGAAAAGCAGATATTTGGTTTGGACCAAGCATATGCTAGGGTACTGGGATTGTCCTATGGCTCACTTGGTATATTTGGAATTGCTACTAAAGAACTACTACCATTTTGACAAACAATCATATGTACAACTTTTTTTTGGCAATTTGCTGCTCAAAGCCACGCTTCAACTGAAAATTGATCCGACCTATGTTGTCTCAACATAGCCATGGCCGGTCCCAAGCCTGGGTAAAGGAGGGTTGTGATAGGCTTGGCGAGCCAACGTCATAACTCAACCACTCTTATGGAGGTGAAACCTAGAAGAACATCCTTGGGGCGTAACTGTAATGCCCCAGACAAACCCACTGGTTCCTTGCCGTTGTGCCTGGCTACCACCTAGGATCTAGACTGGCCCCACTGACCAACACTAGTCTTTCCTGTGCACTTTGTCCTGAGTCCTAACTCGTGCGCACCCAGGATCAACTTCCCAGTTGGTCACCCATCCTTTCGGATGGGCTCCCAGAAAGGAAGGTGCTCCTTGTTGATATGAGTAGTCTATCATTGCCACATACACCCCCACTCAAAGGAACCAAAGTTCTCGTTGGCCCAGCAGGAGCACATGTGCCATGCCGTGTGCCACGATGGGCCACATGCGCCATGCGCCACATGCCCACAAACCTGACCCGCACATGCTCGTGTAACCGCGACGGGTGGCTCTGATACCAATTGTAACGCCCCGGCCAAACCCACTGATTCACTGACCGGTTCCTGGTCGTTGCGCCTAGCTACCACCAAGGATTTAGACTAGCCCCACCGACCAATACTAGTCTTTTCTTCGCACTTTGTCCTCACTCGTGTGCACCCGGGATTAACTTCCCAGTCGGTCACCCATTCTCAAATTGCTCCAAGCCAAGCACTCTTAACTTTGAGGTTCCTTTTGGACGAGCTCCTGGAAAAGAAGGTGTACCTTCTTGATTTGAGTAGTCGATCATTCCTATTAAGCCGGGATGGTCATAATAACCCTCTTAGTGACGCGCCATATTGGAACCCAGGTGTGGTCTTAAATGGGCAAGGGGCAGGCCGTCACCCCCTTGGTGTCGCGCCGTATCTTGATCTAGATACGTTGATAAGTGAGCAAGGATCGGTCATTGCATCCTTAGTGGTGCGCTAGATTGACGCTCGGGTGTAGTGAAAAACAAGGCTCTAGTAGCATCCGCATAGGTAGCTGGAAAGTAGGGTCCCTGATGGGTAAGTTACGGGAGTTAGTTGATACAATGGAAGAGAGGCGTTGATATCCTATGCATCCAAGAAACCAAATGGAAGGGACAAAACGCTATAGGACGGCAATTTGACCTCCGATGTTGTATGGTGTTGAACGTTGGCCAACTAAAAGGCGACATGTCCAACAGTTAGGTGTAGCGGAGATGTGCATGTTGAGATGGATATGTGGTCACACAAGAAAGAATCAAGTCTGGAATGATGATATACGTGTTAGAGTTGGGGTAGTACCAATTGAAGAGAAGCTTGTCCAACATCGTTTGAGATGGTTCCGGCATATAGCACATGCCTCCAGAAGCACCAGTGCATAGCGGACAGTTAAATGTGCTGATAATGTCAACAGAGGTCGGGGTAGACCAAACTGACATGTGAGGAGTCCGTAAAGAGAAACCTGAAGGACTGGAATATCACCAAAGAACTAGCCATTGACAGGGGTGCGTGGAAGCTAGCTAGCCAGAACTGTAACTCGGTTTCGAGATCTTATGAGTTAACTTTGGCCTACCCCAACTTGTTTGCGACTGTATGGCTTTTTTATTGCTGTTGTTATTGAGTGTGTTTTACTTTGTAGCGAATTTAAATACTTGTAAGGTAAATGTTCACTATTGTGGATTGTCGAGTGACATCTAGAGAAGTGTAGTTTGTGACCTGTATGTTTGGGTTGAGGCCCAAAATGCTAATTTAGTGGTGGTTTCGTGCGAAAAAGGCATTTGGTGGACGGGCTCCAGGTAGCCCTTTATTTATTTTTCTCAAAAGCTTTATTTCCAAAGCGCGAAAAATTCTGAAAAGTGTGCATAAGCATATTATTACATGTATAGTATTTACATAGGAAATTTAATCGTCATTCTCTGTTTACCCACATCTCAGGTAAACTACGTCCTCAACACAATACTGTCACTCAATATGGTGATTGCATTTCTGGTTGCTGTCATACTAGACAACACTGTCCCTGGTGGCTGCCAAGAGCGGGGCTTGTATGTATGGTCAGAAGCAGAGGAGGCGACAAGAGAACCATCCTTCTTGAAAGACTATGAGCTTCCTTTCAAGATAGGGCGGGTGTTCAGGTGGGTCAAATGCATGGGCCTATAGCATGCCTGTGACTCTCCAGAGTTTGAATGGATCTACTTGCGAATCACACGTGAAAGAAATGGAGCCTGTCATGTTCCATGACGGACCATTTCCCCAGCAGAGGTACCGAGTGTATATTCCGAAGAATTGCCGTAGGTTAGTTCTCTTGTCCTGACGCTTGACGCGTGGGACGAATTTTCCTAGTATTATTATTATCTTGACTAGTGTGTATTATAAATGAGGGATTTTGCTCTTCCTATATTAGTAGCTTTAGGGGGTATGATATGTATATGTGGATGCGGCAAGTGGTCTGAACTAAGCCTGGGGACTCCGACCGACCTGTTAGGCTTATATTTACAGGAATCAAATATCTGACTTCCAACTTGGTCAAATCAGAGAGGTCTCTTTGCATACAATATTCTGTGTTGAATTCGGAGTGTAGGTGTATGGTCTTACTGGCATTTGAATCAACTCTTTAAGTCCCTTTTCCAATCTCTCAGCTAGGAATACAAATTTGTGACCCCCACGGCACCCTCTGTTGAACTAAAATTTCAAAAGTTGTGTGACTTTGGAAATTTTAGTTCATTTGATTGAACCAAAGAGGTTCGGAGAATACCCTAGAGGCAGTGGGTACCACCATTTGCATCCTTAATCTCAGCAGGCTCCTGTCTGGTAGGCTGCCTAGGGCTGCGTCGCCGAGCTTGGGAAGAGTTTTGCAAAAGTTTTCCAGCGATGGGAGACTGGAAGGGCAGCTGCAGCGCACAGCTCGAGCGTAGCACTGGCAGCAACACGCCATGATGGCTGCTGCAACTGGAGGCAACACACGTGAGATGCATACACCACGGTGTTGCGCGGGGCAAAAGGTGCGGCGAGATTGCTCCAGAAGCAAAGGTCACGCACTTGGCTGTGGTGTCATCATGAGTGTTGTGGGTGCCTTTACAAACGCCGAGAGAGGATGGGCCAACCAAGGGCCGGAGGTGGAGCAGGCACGCCAGCCGCACAGACCGTCCAAACAGGCCGCACAGAAGACCGGCCAGACGACAGCACTCAACTGGAGCTGTTTGAGTTTCAGTCACCTGCAGGCTGCAGGGTCGCACTAATCGCATGCAACCGGCGAAAAGCCATGCAACTTTTCCTGTCTTGCCTTGGGCTTGGGCGAGGTTTGCACGGATACCAAACAAACAAAGGCATCTCATCTCCACTGCCGGTGATTCCTGTAAACAAACTGGTTGTGCTTGACAACGCCGCAGAGCATGGCATACACGCCACTGTAACCGGACCACAGGAAAAAGCTGGCCAACACACACTCTAGACAATCAGCAGCAAACACACGTTACAGCATCCACTTGTTGGAAATGAACAGGTCTGCGTCTCCAAGAAGACCTCCTCCCTTCCTCAGGTCTTCCGGGAGTCCTGGGATCCCAGAGAGGAAGCCCGAGCCCGGTGGGACGCTGCACCTACCAGAAGTAGGAGGATCATACAACTGCTTCGGTAAAACCCCAGCACCATCATCATCTCTGTATGTGTCGTGTCGAGCAGCCTCAACCTCAATCAGCCCGAGCTCTGCATCGTGCCCGTTACTAATTGCTGGCAGCGTCTCCTCCTTCGGGAACGAGTCTGTCGGCAGCCGGAACAGGCCCGGACTGCCGACAGGGATCTTCACGTCGGCATCGTCGCCCGGGGCCGGGAGAGCCAGGATCTCCTGCTGAGGTGGGCTCGGTTTCTCCGTGGGTGCCGTGTCGGCGCCCCCATCGGTCCAACAGTTTGCACTTGCACGGTCATGGTAACCATGGTAATCCTCTGGCGCTGGGAGGGCCAGTATTTCCTGCTGAGACGGGCTCGACCCGACGTGTTCATCCCTGTACGAGCTGTTGCCGTCGTCGTCGTAGAGGTCCGCACGGTACTCATCACCCGGCGCCGGGAGCGCCAGCGTCACCTGGCTGGGCGGGAGCGGCCTGTCCAGCTTCTGCCTCAGGGAGATCCTGGCGCGCTGCAGGGCTTGGAGAACGCTCTCCACGTCGATGTTGCCGTGATTGTCGTCGGCGTGATCATGGAAGCGCGACGAGCTCCAGTCCGAGACCTTGCTGACCGACGGGCTCGGGCTCGACTCCGATGGCGCCTTGATGGTGCCGAGCCCGGACGACGACGCGGAGTTGGTGTAGTGGCTCGAGCAGCCGTCTGAATTTGCGTCCCCTTGGCTTCGTCTTGTGGCCGTGCTGTAGCTGGAGCTTCCTTGTGCAGAGAAGGCAGCAGTCCGCGCCATTTCTTCTGATGCGTTCTTGTGCGTCCTGGAAACGAGGAGCTTTTCACCACCTGATTTGGTTTGGAACTGGCAATCTGCCTCAACGTCACCCTGCAGTTTGGAAAGCAAAAACCATGGGTCAAATCGGTGTAAGAACTGTCGCCTCCGGCAATATTCATCATGTCAAATCTCAAATTCTTAAAGAAGAAAGAAACCATACAGGCCACACCATTCATGACGCTAACTCTGCCGTGTTTTGACAGAGCAAACGAATTCGTTGCCAAAATACGTACCTTGCTCGGTGAGCCCCGCGTGTCGTTGAATTTCTTCTCCCAGTCCGTCTGAGCCTTCTCCTGGGCCTCATACTGCCCGATCAGCTCGGCCTGCTTCTCCAGCACCCTCTCCATCTCCCCATCACCATCGTCGCGCCTCATCACGTACTGACCACCACCGTCCCCCGAGCTCCGCCGGTCGTCTCCGCCCACCTCGCCGTCAAACTCGGTCCGGCCATCATCATCGGCGCAACGCGGTCCGTCTCGCTGTTCCTTCCGACTCTCCGCGACCACCGCAGCAACGCTACTGCCATCGTTGAGCAGAACAGAAGTGCAGAGTGTCAAATAGTAATTGACAAGAATGGCATTGCAGAGCTCAATGTTTAATTGCTCATCTACGAGCGAGACGAAAAGGAGAGTCAATGGCGGGACCTGAGCTCCTTGCGCTTGTTCTTCCGGCAGGACTGGCCCATCCGGTACTTGGGCGAGGGGTCCGACTGCGAGGCGAGGAAGTAGACGTAGCTCCGGCGGTGCCGCTGCTTGAGCTGCCTGGCCCTCCGCGGGCTCGCGCACCGGCCTTTCCACGACAGCCCGCCGGGCTGCAGGGCCGTCCCGGACGTCGCGTCCTCCTCCTCCTCCGCTTCGCCCTTCTCCGGCGGCTGCTCCTGCTCGTGCTCCTGTCCCTGCTCGTTGTGGGAGCGGGGCGCAGGGTCGCCGCCGGTGGCTGTAGCGTCGCTTGGCTCATCCCGCTCCTCCTCGTCGGCATCGGAGCCCGAGTCGAGCTCGTCGGAGAGGCTGCCGCAGAAGCCCCGGGACTCCAGGACGGCCAGCACCTCCGCGGCCTCCCGCTCGGCTTGCCGCCGCTGCGCCGTCACCGCCCGGACCTGCTCCTCCAGCTCCGCAACCTGAACGACACGCGCGAATCAATGGCGCCGACATTGACATCCGCAAGAATGCGCGCGCAGCATACGTACCCTGGCGGCGAGCTGGTCGGCGCGCTCCTTGGAGGCGCGGGAGACGGAGCGCTCGGAGAGCAGGCGCGCCCGGAGGAAGTCGATGGTCATCGGTGCCGTCGCCGCCGCCGCAGGGTCCGCCATCCGCGCACGCTCAAAACCTCGGTCGGCATGCACACACCAGTGTCCCCCTTCCGCTCCAGAACGGCAGCCCGGCCCGGTGGTCGTCTGCCGCACCGGACGAGAGCTACCCGAGCTGCACGTACTACGTGCTACTGAAGTGGACGTCCGACCTCACTCCCGGGGAGCGGGGCGTGGGGTTAGAATACAATACAATTGACAACAACTCCACGCTCCTCGACGCTCTACGGTGACGGTCTACACCAACACCGCACCCACCGGCCACCGTCACGCCACGGCTTGGTTTTCTCGTGCTCGTGCTCGTGCTCGTACGTAGAGCAAATATTAAAAAAGGAGCTTGCCTTTCTGCGAGGAGGCGCACGCGAGGACGCAGTACGCGGTCGCCCGTACCCACGCGCGCACCGACAGCGCGTAGCGGTCGTTGCACGAGGGCCATGGGATCCAGCCCAAGCTAGCGCAACGGTATCGCTGCCTGTTCCATCGGCCAACGGCGATGCCTCACCTGTCGCCCCGGGGTCCTGTGCCGTGCTCTGCTGTGGGCAAACAATCTTGTGGCTGGACGGAGGTCCTCCTTGCATCGGGGTCCGTTATTTATGATGATGTGGCCTTGTGGCTGTGGGGGTAATTTTCTCTTCTGTCGAGCGCGGTACAGCCCAACTGTGCTGGCTTAGGCTACAAAATATGAGTGTCATGCCCCGCTTGGAATCTTTTTGTGCCTGGATCGGATCCAGCGCCTCACCAACCAACCTCATACGACCGCATGGAAAACCGCCAACGACTTGCTATGACCTCATTTAAATCAAGCTCACCGTTTCCAACAACAAAGGAAAATCGAGGTCAGCTCCACGTACTGCACCAAACAAAGAGGCCATGACGAAAATTGCAGTGCACAAAGTAAAATATAATATCGAGCACACACGTTTCCATCAAGCCATTTAACGCGCACCCGCAACACGTTTCTATCTGCGCACAACTTCAGACCTTAGTAGGATGATGATGAAGCAAATGCATACGGGCAGCAAATGTGTGTATCTGTCGGGAAACTGGATAAGAGGTTGCACGCACACATCATCAGGTAGGAGTATCTGCCAAGTCAAGTGCTTACATTACAGGACGATCTGTTCTTTACCAGAGAACACGCTTAAGAAACATCTAGAGTGCTTGGCTTAGAGCCACCATGGATTCGGCGACACATGATGAATACACATAACTAGTCAGTTAATCGCCGCTGGCACATCCCTTGCAGCCACAGTGGACGCATTCGATCACCTGCTCCTCCCTCAGATGCTTGGGGACCCGGCACACGCACGTCGTCGCAAAGTTGTGGTCTCGGGTCTGGATGCAGCGGAGGCAGCAGAGGCGCTCGTAACCCGGCTGCACGTACACACAAAAAGGAAGCAACGAGTGAGTAAG